TAGGGGTGTTCATATCCGATCCAATCCGATTGATCCGACCTAAACTGATCCAATCCGATTAAAAACCAAACCAAACCGATATAAAATTGAGTTGGTTTGAATTATAAAAATTTAAAACCGATATAATTCGTTTGGTTTGTGATTTTACTTTTAAACTGACCAAATCGCCCAATTATAAAAAGAAATCCGATTATAAGATAACTTAATTAAATAATATAATATTTTTATAATATTTCAATTTTTCTTTTCCTTATTTTATAAGATAATGACTCTGTTGATTTAATTAAAAATAAAAATAGCATATCTTATATTTCTTAATTTATTTTTTCTTTTTTTTTTTTAATTATATACCTAAATTTTAATTCTAAATTTCAAACTTCCTTACAATTTTACATTTATAAGTGAGTTGCAACTTTATTCTTAAAACCCTACCTTCTTGAGTGGCATGCACTTGCCAAGGTTGTCGTCTTCATTTTGCTGGGTTGTTGTCTAGGTTGTCATTTTATTCTTAAACACATAATATGGGTGTCGACACGATGGGTTAATAGTTCAGAATCAAACTTTCTGTTTTTTCTTTTGTGTCGACGCGTAATTTAGGGTGCCAGCACTATACATTCAATGTCCAACATTCAAGTTTCTTATTCTATTTCAAATCCTACTTCTGTTTCAAATCCTACTTCTATTCCAATTAGGGTTTCTAAAACCTTATAAATACCCATCCAAATTCAGAATTAAAAGAGCTTGGGAGGATGGTGGTAGCCCTCTTTTGGGTATTCTTAGAGATCAAGATAAAAATTTAAGAATTTATTTATAATTTTTAAATCTTTTCAATTTTTACAATTGTAAAAGAATATAAGAATTTGTTTATAATTTGTACTTTTTTTAATTATGTTTCTATTTATTTGGATATTAACGTATTTTATATTTATGTTTTTTAGTTAATGTTAAATTTATTTACATTATCTCATATATTTAATAATGTTAAAAACTGATCAATCTGACCAAACCACACCGATCCGATTTAAATTAGATTGATTTAGTTATCATATAATACTAGATTGAATTGGTTTAAAAATTTTACTAACCAATTAAATTGGATTAGATTAAAAACTATTAAAATCTGAACCAAACCACACCACGAACACTCCTAGCTACACCTACACTTGATCCTGCACTCCTACTTCTGCCAAAAGCCGGATCCTCTGCTGCACCAAATCCCCTTGCCGCCTGCTACGCCGAACCCACGTTGCTGGCACGCCTGCACTCTGCGCCAGCAATCATGCCCTCTACACCGAGCCATGCCCCTGCCTTTGCTCGCTACAGTACATGCCAGAAAATCTTCATCATTATTGATTGACAGAGCAAGGCCTTTTTTTCATTATTTATTATTTATTTTATCTTTTATTTGGGTATATATATAGAAAAAAATCAGATTGAAGGGTGGTCGGTATTGATTTTGGGGGCTTGGAGATTGATTTTGGCTGTTTGATTTTGGGGGG